ACACACACACACACACACACACACACACACACACACACAGAGGAAAACATGCACATAAACCTGAAAAATCCTTATAGATATTGTCTGTGGGGTAATGATGTCACTAATAAATGTTGTCAAAATAAATAACTGGCAGCCTAAGCTGTTTGACACATCTGTAAGAATAAACTGCCTGTCATGGTATATTATTTGTTGTTAAGTCTTTGAACAATCTTGAATTTATTTTAATGTATTACAATTATCTCTGCATTCTTAACAATAATTATTTTAGGTCTACTGGCTATTCAGAGGTGATCGTTGTGGTTGGGGGCTGTGAACGAGTTGGAGGATTTAATCTTCCATACACTGAGTGCTATGATCCAGTAACAGGAGAATGGAAGTCCTTGGCCAAGCTTCCAGAATTTACCAAGTCAGAGTATGCTGTCTGTGCACTAAGGAATGATATTCTTGTTTCAGGTAAATAAAAAATTATTACAGTAGATACTATTTTTCATTTAGGTACAGATTGACTGCTTTAAAAATAATAATACCTTGTTGAGTGTGAAATGGATATTTCAGACCAACTAATTTATACAAAACTAAAAGACCTTTTGCCGTTGAAAACCAGAATGAATTACAAAAGATCTACCAGACAATGCTTTTGGTCATGGTATTTGAAATGCTTTTACAAATGCTTAGAGTATATGTGTTTTAACTGTGTGTGTGTGTCTGTGTGTATGTGTGTGTGTGTGTGTGTGTGTAACAGTACACACGAGTGCACGTGCGTGCAGAGGCCAGAAGAGATCATCCGCTCTGGAGCTGAAGTGACAGGCAGTTGTCAGCTCCATGGGGTGCTGGGAACGCTCAGGTCCTCTGGAGAGGGGCAGCTGTTCTGACTGTGGAGCCACCTCTCCAGCCTAATTATGGTTTAACTTGATCTCTTTGGGTTTTAAAGTATCACTGTAAACAATTGAGTCAGAAGTACATGTTTAATTTGCCTGTTTTCTGAAATTTTCTCCCAAAGTTAAATCAATTAAAATTTTTCTATAAAATCCTTGAGTTGAACGTATTTACTATGTGTGATGTCCTAAAATTCGGAAAAAAAATGACATATTTTCAGAAAGTATATCTGGGATCTGTGATTTGAAGCCTGCTGACTGACAAATAACTTAATTAGCCTTGCAGATTGTTTTACTGTCCAGTGAACGACACTACCACATACACCTGATTTTGTATGGTTTTTAAAACATCTTTAAAATATTTGTAGTTATCTGATGCATGGTTTGTAAAACTCACTGGCTGTATCTTATTCTTATGGAGCTTGTGGTCATTATTTCTCAAGATAATAGCTGACAGGATTTAAACCTGCTCTGTGTGACCATTTCCATGAAGCTGGAGGGTTCTCCTTGGTTGAGCTAGTTCTGAACTTCTCGGGTTGATGGGTCAATTCTGCTTTGTTTGCCTATGTGTTAGTGGCATAGATCTCTTGGTCATATTTAGTGACGTTGCCGAATGTGCACTGTTTTACATTTGAAGGTGGAAGAATCAACAGCCGCGATGTCTGGATTTATAACTCACAGCTAAATATCTGGATCAGAGTTGCTTCTCTAAATAAAGGCAGATGGCGCCACAAAATGGCTGTCCTCCTTGGTAAAGTAAGAGAAACGGCTTTATTACTACTGCTGGGGCATGTCCACAAGAAATGCCGCAGCTGCGGCTTGCATTTCCCTCGGGGTGTTTGGCTTCAAGTGGTATTTCCTTCCATTCCTAACCAAGATAAACTAAAGACATAAACAATATGACACTGTGCTTTTTGAATAGCTATTTTGTTCTCCCGATTTCAAATTTGTGGCAGTACAGCACATTTCTCACACACTGGAATCCAAATCTGAAGAAGAACTGGAAGGGTGTATCGATACAAAACCAGGCCAGTGTCTGTGCAGTCCACACAGCTTCTTCCCTTCTACTGACTTTGGCAATCAACAGAAAAATGTTTTATTTTAAGTAGTATTATTTAACCTTTTTTATTTGTGCAAGAGGGGATAAAACTCTCCAGCATGCTCTGCGTGCGTGCGTGCGTGCGTGCGTGCGATGCATGTTTGAATTTTCAGGTTCACACACGTGACACCTGGAGGCCAGGGGAGGTTGTCACATGTCCTGCTCTCTAGCTTCACATTACTCCCTTGAGGCAGGGTACCAGCCAGCAAGCCCCATCCCCTACAGCACTGCTGTTACAGGACATTGCCTTGTTTTTATGTGGGTGTTGGGGATTTGAACTCAGATCCTTATACTTACACAGCAAGCCCTCTTACTTGCTGAGCCATTTCCTCAGCCCCTTCACCAACATGTTTTCTAGGATATCTGTTATAGACTACAGCTAACAAATGTATTAAAATGATGCAACTGGATGCCAAACAGGATGCTCCACCTCTAACCCTGGCTCTTGTGGGGCCAAGTCAGGACTGTCACAAGTTCCAGGCCAGCCTCAGCTACACAGTAACATTGTCTCAAATTTTTTTTTTTTTTTTTTTTACAATTTGGGTTCTGAACCATTAACTACCATATTTAATCTGAAACTGGTCTGTGAGTTAGTGGTTTGGGCCTGGCAGGCCTGGAACTCAGAAATCCCCCTGAGTGCCCCCCTTGAAGCACTGCACTCACTTTTTAACATTAAACAGATAGAGAAGCTCCGCTTGTTCCTGAGGAACGTGGAACTGTTAGCCATTCCCCAATGCCGTCTTTATCACCTTGTCCAAAACACCTCAAATGAAGCGAAATGAGTCTCCCCTTGGCCTGTGGCACCCCTTTCTGAGAAGATGTGGTATCTTGGGCTCCACTAGGACACTTTTCAGAGCCACCAATGGAAAACCAGAACTTAGTCCAATCAGAATGGCTGCCCTGGTGGCCTCCCCTCAGCCTCTCCTTCGCCCTGTCCCCCACAGAGGCGTCCGGAAACCTTCACAGTATGGGACACTAGAGGCCCTTGAACAGTTCCAGAGCTGTAGCTTAGTTGGACACAGTGATACGCACCTGTAATCCTGGTACACAGTGATACACACCTGTAATCCTGGTGCTCGCAAGGCAGAGGCAGAGAGGTCAAAAGTTAAACCAGCCGACCTATATATAGCAAGTTTGGGGCAAGCTTGGACTATACCTCTCTCTCAAAAAAATAACAAAAATAACAGCAGAGTGGGGCATGGGAATCCTAAGCCCAATGTATATTATACACTTACATAAAAATATCCTTATATACAGTGAATATACGCAAGGAAAAAATGTTGAATCATTAGAGAAATTAAAAATATTTTTAAATGAAAGTCAACCTCTTGTTTGAGATGTGTGTATATGACTACCACATGTGTGTGGTGCCTGTGGAGGGCAGAAGATGGCATTGAAGCCCCTGGAACTGGAGTTCCTGGCAGTTGTGAGGCACCCAGTGTGAGGGCTGGGATTCAGACTCCAGGCTCCGCAGGAGTAGAAAGCGCTCATAACTGAGTAGCCGTCTACCCAGCCCTGGTTTTGGTGACGGACCTCTAGAAGCATGGGCTGACTTCCAGCTCCACGCCTGAGGATGACTTAGCTCCTGACTCTGCTTCCACCAGCTCTAAAGTACTGGAATTGCAGTCACGCACCCCACTCCAGTGTCTTAAAAGAAACAGTCACTTCAGCTCAGTGGCAGTAAAGCATTTGCCACACAAGTGTGAGGATCAGAGTTCAAATCCAAAGAAGCTACGTAAAACCAGGAGCAGCAGCAGCAGCAGCAGCGCACACATAATCTCAGTGCTCCTGTGGCAACCTGGGTGGTAAAGACCGGGGAACTCCTGGAAGCTGCTGGACAAGCAGTCTGGCATGCACAATGGGAGACAATGAGACCCTGTTTCTAAAAATGTAGACGGCTCCGACTGGCACTCAAAAGCTTGACCTTTGACCTGTGCAGACACACCAGCTACTTCAGTGGAAAGAGATCCACCTCAGAAAGTTGTCCTCTCACCTCCACACAAGCACCACACACAGGATAATAATTTTCTTTCTAAGGACAAAACAGGCCGGCAAGATGGCTCAGTGGGTAAGAGCGCTTGTGGCCAAGCCTGACAGCTGAGCTTTGTCTCGGAGATGTACACCATGGAAGGAGGACACTCAGAAGTTGTCCTCTGACTTCCACATATAACACAGTGGCGTGCGCGCACACGATAAATAAATTTTAAAAATACAAAGGATTACTGGAGAAGTCAGTGCTAAAATAAGATATTACAAATGAAGTATAACAAAAATAATTTCTAATTATTTAAGCTGTACATGAAAGGCAAGTAAAAAGGATCGCTGTCTCAAAATCCATATGTTAGTGAACTCTTAATTTACTTGACAAATGTTAGGTTGTTTGATGCAATGATAACCAAAGCAAGCTGGTCATGGTGGCCCATAGAATCCTAGCTCTCGGGAAGCTGAGGCAGGATGATGTCAAGTTCAAGGCCACTTTGGACTATGTAGCAGGACCATCTCGTTGAATAAATAAACAAACATGGTAGCACACTTCTGCTCTGCTGTCTCCACCTGAGGCAGGAGGATGAAGAGTGGAAGAGCAGCTAAGCTGTCTGAAATCCTGTCTCCAACAACAACAAAGACTAGTGGAAAGCTTAGAAAGACTGTATTTAAAAAAAGATTTCATCTCGTACAGCAAGTACACAGCTCACGGGAACAATTCTGAAAATTAGAATAAGGCTACAGTCAGACCTGTGAAATTATTTACATTTATAAGCACTGTTTATAGGGGCTGGAGAAATGGTTCAGCAGTCAGGATCACTGGCTGCTTTTACAGACTGAGTGGATTCAGTTCCCTGCACCCACGTGGCCGCTCACAACTATAACTCCAGTTCCAGGGGATCCAGTGCCCTCTCTCAGCCCCTGGGCAGCTGTGATGACAAGCATCCATACAAAACACATAAATCTTAAGAAAATCTGCAGAGAAACTTAGGATGGAGTAGAATGAAGCATCTTAGAAAAGGAAAGAATTACTAAGGAATATTTAATATGAGTCTGGCTTTGTGGCATATGCCTCTAATCCCAGATGCTGAGGCAGGAGAATAGCAAATTTAAGACCAGCTTGGGCTTCATAGTGGTGAAACCCTGCTTCCAGAAAAAAAATACCTCAGAAACCTTACACATTTAGAAAGAAGTAATGCAGCAGCAGAAACTCCAATTGTCTTAGTCCAGAAGCATCTTAACGTCAGTGTCCATGGTGTGCGTCTGTTGTTTACGTATGTGTGTAGAGTGGATCATATTTAATCTCCAAAGTTGAACTATGTGTCAGGCGTTGTTGGGTGTGACTCATGCTAGTAATCACAGACTTGGAAGGCTGAAGCAGGAGGATTGCCACAAGTTTAAGGCCAGCTTATGTTATGGAGTGAGGCCTTATCTCAGAAATCACAAAAAAGAGTATGTGAGGATGTTCTATGTTATTATTTACAGTTTTTAAATTAAAGAATTATTTGTGTGTGTTTGAGTGTTCTTTGTTGAATGTATATACATGTCTGTGCCCTTGAAGGCCGGAAAAAGGTGTCAGATCCCCTGAAGCTGAAATTACCCTGTGTGGGTGCTGGGAATAGAACCCGGATCCTCCACAGATGCTCCTGACTGCTGAGCCATCTCTCTAGCACCATGTTTATTTGTTTGCTTGGAACAAGATCACACTACACTTGAGAAATGGGCACTAGAAGTGGTGTTGCTACTGTGGATATACAGAAGCACACGGAAGGATAAATTGTGGATGATTTAAGTCACAAGGTGTGAAGTTTAGAACTCAACTACTGACCCTTACCTGGTGTTGTAGTTGCATAGCTTTATTACTTTATAACCAAATATCTCATTGCTGAGTGAATAAGAATTGAAAAACCTTATTCCCGTGGGTATGGTAAAAAACTTGTTCTTCAAAGGAGGTGACAAAGCCCAGGTATATACAGTAGGTAAACAAATACACAGTTTGCCTGTGTGATTAAAATGTCGCTGAAGGGAACGTACCAGAAAAGGCTCTGTAATGGCAGTAGTCAGAGGGTTGCTAAGAAATGAAAGTCTCAGAAAACTCGACTAAACAACATTGTAGTCATAGCTGTCAAGGCTTCAGATGAGAGGGACCCTCTAATTCTAAGTGAGCAGATAAGCATGTTGGACTTGCCGCGAAGATTCTTTTCCCTGCCCTTTACATACAGGTATACGTTGTCGGAGGCTATGACGGGCAAAACAGACTTAGCAGTGTCGAGTGTTACGATTCCTTTTCAAATCGCTGGACGGAAGTTGCGCCCCTGAAGGAAGCAGTGAGCTCCCCTGCAGTGACCAGCTGTGTGGGGAAGTTGTTTGTGATTGGCGGAGGACCTGATGACAATACCTGCTCCGATAAGGTAAGCTGTGTGCTCTTTACCAAGGGGAGACGGTGGCCTGTGAGGGGAGAGCTGGCTAGGTCACCAAGTGTGAGGGATCTTTTAAAAATGGTCTGCTGTCCTGTTCCGAGGGGAAAGCACTGGATTTCAAGTCGCCACAGTGACACCATTATACAGCCAGACCTTTACTGTCGTCTACAGGATTTAAATGCAACATAGAAAAGGAGTGAGCGGAGGTCAAGGCACTAACGATACTGCGTCTGCTCCCAGCTGGGTCATCCTTTAAACTTTTGAAGGGTGTTTTGGGGTTTTTTGTTTGTTTGGTTGGTTGGTTGTTTGGTTTGGTTTAGTTTGGTTTTTGTTTTTAGAACAAAAGAAGAGGAAAGATTTCCTTTATAGTATAAACAGAGGATGGCCCAAAGTAGCTGCAGCTCATTCAACTCAGGGACAGAAGAATGTGTGCTGTCCTGGCATTTCCGGAGACGCCATGGTGATTCTGAGGAAGGGTATCCAGTGGCTAATTGGTTTGGTGGTGATAGGGAATTTCATCAGTCAATTCATTTATTTTCTCACTTAAATGTTAATATATCATCCGATGGTCAAGGTGCTCACCACCAAACCTGCTGATCTGAGTTCAGTCCCCAGCTCGGGGGCTAGGCGAGCACCAGCTCTGCGGGTTGTCCTCTGACCCCCACATGGGGGCACGGTGGCAGTAAAGAGATAAAGCTACCCAAAAACACTAGATCAAGGTTGCCTCGTTCTTCTGAAATGAGAGATGGTTGTTATCGGCGTTCTTACCCTGTAAGGAAAAGTCACGTAGCACAACAGACTCCACAAACGAGTTTTATTAAGACAAGGAGAAAGGGATAGATGTGATCGCGCCTGCTGAAAGAACACGTGTGGGAGAAGGGGGGGGGGGGCATGGGGTCTGCCTTTTTAAGGGCCAGCCTGCACATGTGCACACAGGCCCAGGAGGCTACTCCACGCATGCGCATAGATCACATGGTCATGCCGCACACAATTTACGTGACCACATAGCACAGGACTGTGATCTGGAAATGACTGAGTGTCCCACCGGGGTATGCTAGACCATGGGGGCATAGCTGGAATTCCTATCAGTAAGGACTACCTAAACACACGAAAAATTATATTCAGATGGAGACATGATTAACTTACATAAAGCAATTTCAGAAAAACTTAAGACTTACTCTTGGTGTACGTTAGTAAACCTGGAGGCCATTCTTGGAAATAATCTGTGTCTATTTTGTTATTGTCTTCTGTTTGATGGTAATAAATTAGCCTTTCTTTGGTGATTTTTCTCTTTTTTCAATCAAAGGAGTTTTATCCTTCACCCAAAAAGTAAGAATTTTCTTAATTCATAAATTTTATTAATCAGACTAACCTCATTTAATTTTTTGAATTAATGGCATTTGATTTTTAACCACGATTCTATATATTGACAGATTTTTAAAGCAAATTTACATATTTCTTTAGACATCTTGCTCCCTATTTTTCTATATTATTAGGTCCAATCTTACGATCCAGAAACCAATTCTTGGCTACTTCGTGCAGCTATCCCAATTGCCAAGAGGTGCATAACAGCCGTGTCTCTGAACAACCTGATCTACGTGGCTGGGGGACTGACCAAGGCGGTGTATTGTTACGACCCCGTGGAAGACTACTGGATGCATGTACAAAACACATTCAGCCGACAGGTAACAGCACAGAGGCCAACCAGAAGCGAAGAGCAAATGAGTGACATGATTATTTACTAGAATTTCACTTTCCAAATATTTCATAATTTTTAAACTCCCTCCCAAGGAATTGTTTTTTATTCTTTTAAGTTCTTTTGTGGTGCTGGGGATTGGGTCCAGGACCTCCTGAACACTAAGTAAACACTCGACACTGAACTCCATTCTCTGCCCCAAAGGTTAGCTTCTTTTTAATCAACCCAACATGAAGCTTCCATTGTATTTAGGCTTTTGACTGAAAACACTCAGCCTTCACTTCATTTTTCAAAATCTTGTTCTGTTCTCCTGCCCTTTCTCTTCCCTGTTTCAGAAGAGGAGGTCAGACTGAGGGCCTCTGCTTAGAGGCCTGTTCGTTTTGTTGTAAAGGAAATGGTTGTGCTCAGGCCTCTCATCCACACACTCCGCCTGAAGCCGGAGCGGCCTTTTATCTCTGCTGTTCCAGAAAGGCTCCAGCCCTGGGTTCTTGGCTCTGCTCTCCTTCCTTTGACTACCAAAATGCTGCTTCTGACGCTGGGATTCTGTCTCTCCTCATATTAGTGTGTGCACGGGGATGTGGTGCCCTGAGACACCAGAGGAGGGGCCGCTCTCCCGGAGCCTCAGTTACAGGTGGTTGTGAGCCACCTGATGTGGGTGCTGGGAACCAAAACTGCAGCCCTCTGCAGATGGCAGAAGTGCTCTTCTTACCCCGAGCCAGCCTGCTCCCCGCAAAGGTATTCTTCCTTTCCTTCCCTCCGTCCGTCCGTTCTTCCTTTCTTTTTCTTTCTTTCTTTGATTGGCTGGCTGGATTTTGTCTTTCGGTCTCTTTCTTTTTTTAGACGAGGTCTCACTGTGTAGCCCTGACTGGCTTGGAACTACTTTCCTCTCCCTCCTGAATGCGGAGATTAAAGATGTGCCGCATACCCAGCCTCCACAGACACATTCTTAAAGGTCACCAGGAGGCATCTCTCCTGTTGTTTTCTTAGTCCTTGTTTTTTCCACTCCGTCTTCAGTGAGTGCTGCTTAGCCTCTTTCCCCTGCCTTAACTCGAGTTGGCTACTGAATTGCCTCATTTGCTGCTCAGGGCTCACCTTAGTCTAACCCTTGTTCCCTCCTGCTGTGAGACACCGGCCATGGTGCTCCAAGGTTGCAGGCTTAAGTAGTCTGCCTACTCTCCTGCTGTCTGTGTCCAGACATCCTAGGCACCTACTAGGTTTCTTCACGGTCTCTAAAAGAGGGATGCTCACACACTGGAGCTGTCCTCCGAGTCCGGTCCTCCAGTCTAGCTTCTCTAAGCCGGTTTGCTACAGTTGAATTCTCCAAACAAATCTCCTTATGTCCCCTTGACTGGAAACCTACTGAACGAACCCCAAACCTCCCCACTTTGTTCGAGACCTTCTCATGTCTCGTGTCTTTGTTTTCTTCCCACTTGCTCTTAGCCAAAGGCCGAGAAGCGGCTGAGAAGTGGTTGCTTTTTTGTTTTGTTTTGGTTTTTTTTTGGGGGGGGGGGGTTGTTTTGCTTTGTTTTGAGACAGGGTTTCCCTGTGTTGATCAGGTTGGCCTCCATACTCACAGAGATCCACCTGCCTCTGCCACCCAAGTGCTGGGACTAAAGGCGTGCGCCACCATGCTCAGCTGATTGTTTTTCCAATATCATTTCCTGTAACTTAATTCCAGTTATATTATTAAGTGTGTGTTTTTATTTTCAGTACGGATCACATGTTGTTTTGGATTGGTTTGTGTTGATCCCTCGGCCTATGATGCTTTTTACCTCTGTACTTGTAATTCCACTCATCTTCCAACAGCAAACGCAGGTTATCTCGGTTAGAACTGACCTTTTCCCCAGTGTATTTCCTCAGTATTCACACTGAGTATAGCAGTCGTGTACTCCTTAAAGTTTCTGCTTATTTGTGTTGATTGGTTGATTTTGGTTTTTTGACTGGTTCCCAGGTAGACCTAGCCTTGAACTCTTTTTGTTTTTTTTTTTTTGTTTGTTTGTTTGTTTGTTTGAGACAGGGTTTCTCTGTGTAGCTTTGCGCCTTTCCTGGAACTCGCTTTGGAGACCAGGCTGGCCTCGAACTCACAGAGATCTGCCTGGCTCTGCCTCCCAAGTGCTGGGATTAAAGGCGTGTGCCACCACCGCCCAGCTTAGCCTTGAACTCTTGATCCTCCTGCCCCCACAGCTGTCCACTACAGTGCCAGGATCCCTTAGGAGTTTTGGTTTGGTTTTAATGTTACTTGTTTGTGTGTACGTATGTTTGTTTGTGTATACGTATGTGTGCCACAGCACATGTGGAGGTCTGAGGACAACATCAGGACCCCCCTGTGTGGGCCCTGGAATGGAACACAAGTGGTTGGGATTGGCGGGAAACACCTTTTAACCACAAGCCCTCTACCAGGTCCCCTTATGGTTTGTTAGGGGTGTGAGTGTGAATTTGTGTGCATGCCACGTGTGTGAGTGTCCCCAGGTGTGAGAAAAGAACGTTGGGTCCCCTGGAATGACTGCTGGGAACTGAACTTGGGTCCTCTGGGATAGCAGCAAGCACTCTTAACCACTAAGCCATCTCTTTCCACTGCCCTGGACTGGTTTTCGTTTCTTTGCTGCTTTTTAGATTTTATTTTAGTTGTGGGTCTGTGTGAATGTGTGCCGCACATACGCAGGTGCCCTTGGAGACCAGAAGAGGGCATCACATCTCCTGGAGCTGGACTTAACAGGCAGTTGAACTGCCCGGTGCCGGTGCTGAGAACTGAACGTGGGTCCTCTGGAAGAACAGCCAGTGCTCTTAGGCACTGAGCCTCTCCAGCCCCCGCCCTGGATTTTGAAATGTTATTTCCTGTGCTGGAATTCAGCCTTCTTTAGGATACTGTTGAATTAGCAATTCGTTTCCCCTGTGTCTTGCATATGTTCGTGTTCAGAACGCAGTTTGCTGAATTAGTGAACAAACGAAGCAGTAGCTAGCCTGACCAGTGGCTCCCACGTGGTAGCAGAGAACAGCCCCTGACCTCAAACCCCACACGTGCTCCTGCTGGGGCGCACAGTCTCTCAGGAATTTTTTAAGTAAGCGGGGAGCATATTTGAGTCAGTAATGAATATTTCTTTTCCTTTCTCGGTACATCAAGCATTTAAACTGTTAAAGTTTAGAATAGTTATATGAGGAGAAATATGAAAGCAAGTTTGTTATCTCAGCACTTGTTGTGGGTACTGAGACAGGAGGATTGTTGTCGGTTCAAGGCCAGCCTGGGCTACAGACTAGTAAGATTCTGTATTTTGGGTTTTTTTTAACTATTTATTTTTATTTTATGTGCATTGGTGTTTTGCCTGCATGTATGTCTGTGTGAGGGTGTCAGATACCCTGGAACTGGAGTAGAGAGAGCTGTGTGTTGGGCGCCGGGAATCGAACCCAGGTCCTCTTGGAGAGCAGTCAGTGCTCCCAACCGCCGAGCCATCTCTCAAGCCCCAGTATTTTTGTTTTTAAAGACTCCTCTTTATAAGAATATTTCTTTTGCCTAATAATTATTGACACACAAATACAGTTTGGCTAAGGATCTCATTCTGTAGAAGTAACTAAAGTGTACTGGTTCCATTTCTGTGTCCCAGCCAAGACCTCTAGTAACAGAGGTTTTTTTACTCGGATTAAAACCTGTTTTTCTCTGGGCGGTGGTGGCACACGCCTTTAGTCCCAGCACTCGGGAGGCAGAGGCAGGCCAGCCTGGTCTATAGAGCAAGATCCAGGACAGCCAAGGTTACACAAAGAAACCCTTTCTTTAAAAACCAAACAAGCCTGGCGGTGGTGGCGCACGCCTTTAATCCCTGCACTCGGGAGGCAGAGCCAGGTGGATCTCTGTGAGTTCGAGGCCAGCCTGGACTACCAAGTGAGTCCCAGGAAAGGCGCAAAGCTACACAGAGAAACGCTGTCTCAAAAAAACAAAAATAAATAAATAAAATAAAAACCAAACAAACAGCTGTTTCTCATTCATTTTTTCTCCTTAAGGCTCTCTAAAGGGACTAGTGTCCCCATCCTTGGTCCTGTGATAATTATAATAGCGTCCCCTCACTGCAGTAAGCAATTTAAAGCCTTGTCTACCGTGCCCTTCACACCTCGGCCTCTGTTACGAACAAGGCCCTCACTCCATTCCTGTGAATGTCCAGCACTCACACGTGTAACAGGTGCTAGATAAAGGCAGATGAGCTGATATTAGATCTCCCCTTCTTGAACGGTGTTAAAGCATGTTGGTGTTTTTCAGTTTATTGTCAAGTCCTTTCTCTTCAGTAGTTAACTGTTTGTTTCTCTGTGTGTTTGGTTAAACAGGAGAACTGCGGCATGTCTGTGTGTAACGGTAAGATCTACATCCTGGGTGGAAGACGGGAAAATGGAGAAGCCACAGACACTATCCTCTGCTACGACCCTGCGACAAGTATCATCACAGGGGTCGCAGCGATGCCCAGACCAGTGTCATATCATGGCTGTGTGACCATCCACAGATACAACGAGAAATGCTTTAAGCTCTAAACCCAGGGTACCTCACATGAGAAGCCACACCAGTCCAAGAGGGAAGTTTTAAAAGCTACCAAGTGAGAATACTTCTTTGTGCTGTACACAGAAAGAAAAAAAGAAATAAACAAATAATCCTGATGCCTTTCTGCCCAAAATATCAATATTTCAAGCTGTAATCAATCCTTTCCTGTAACTGGGGTGAGGGGTGTTAAAATGAGGTGGGTAAAGCCTGGCATAGTAGTGCACACCTTTAATCCCAGCACCCAGAAGGCAAAGGCAGGAGGATTCCTCTGAGTTTGAACCCAGCCTGAGCTGCATAACAAGTTCTAGGTCATCAAGGGCTACAAAATAAGACCTTGTCTCCAAAAAAAATAATAAATTGGCCTACGAATATACTTTTTCATCTGTGAGAAACTGGGGGTAGGAAATGTCACCCAGCTGTAAACTTCTTAGGGACTTGTGAACTGTCTTTTAGGAATGTTGCTTTCTTTTTTTGTCAGTTATGTAGAAAAAAATTGTATGACTGAAGCTTCATTTAGATTGAATCACCTGCCGGGCGTGGTGGCGCACGCCTTTAATCCCAGCACTCGGGAGGCAGAGGCAGGCGGATCTTTGTGAGTTCGAGGCCAGCCTGGGCTACCAAGTGAGCTCCAGGAAAGGCGCAAAGCTACACAGAGAAACCCTGTCTCGAAAAAACCAAAAAAAAAAAAAAAAAAAAAAATAGATTGAATCACCTGATGTTAAAAATGTTTAGAATTTATGTGAGGGGAAGAAATAAGTTTTAAACATCTCTGTCACTGACTTTATCAGTGAAGGTGGTTTTCTTTCCTAATTGTAAAAATGTAGTAACAATTCAGTTACCATAAAATACCAAATTTTGTGACTTCATAGACTGTTCTCTGTTATTAAATCCCTTTTGTGAGCTTAAGTAGGAGATATAAAAGTAAGGAGATTTAAATTATAATTAGTCCCTAAGGAAAAAATTAAAATAGCTATCGAAGAAAAAAAATGTGATACGCTTTGGTACTCAGGGTATTTAATGAATCATCTGTGAGTCTGCTACAGAAGTTTTCCCCTTAAAACTAACAGAGGAGTTGAAATCCCTTTTACAGAGCTGGGAGGGAGTGCACATCTGTATCCAGGATCTGGACCATGCGTGCATCAGAAGAAACCATACTGGGACTGAAGAGATGGCTCAGTGTTTAAGGACACTTACTGCTCTTGCAGAGAAGCCTGGCTTGGCTCCCAGCACCCATATGAGATGGTTCACAAAGGCCTGTAATTCTAGTTCCAGGGAACCCAACACCCTCTCTACTCTCTGGGAACCTCCAGGCATGTGGTGCACATAAATTCACATAGACACACATATGTACATAAAAGAAATAAATCTTAAAAAAAAAAGTGCATTTGTAGTACTGCTGTAAGAAAAACAAGACAGGTTTGCTCCCCACGCAGCCCAGTGAGTTCATCTTCTGGTCTGATGCTTGGTCAGGTGCCTCTTCCTGCCTGGTCAGCATCTCTGGTCCTAGAGGCGCTCCTCTCAGTGGGGTCGCTTGTTTGTAAGTTAGTGCTGAGCAGAAATCTCTTACTTGGGAGCCATTGTATAAAATATTGATCAACACTTTCAAATTCCCATTAAAAGTTTTTTCTCTAAGGGTTTTCACCTCCATTTCCAGTTTTCAAAGGGAAATGCCAGTTTTTCCTTAGAAATATAAGTGGGTACAGCAGGAACTAGCAAACTGATTATATCGTAACTTGTGTGTGGACAGATAATGATTTGCAATCTGTAGGCCATCCCAGGTATTGGCGGTGTGTGACTTCCCAGTCACCATTGTCTCTCACAATACAATATACTCCTTGTCAGCAACTATAGTATTACTAGATTTCGGTTAAATTAAGGTGATCATCAAAAGCCCAACATTGGCAAACTTCCTCCTCATCTTAGAATAATACAGACATTTCTTAAGAGTTGATGCTTAATTAGAATCTAAATTCTGAGAGAAAAATGCTAGAAAATACACTTATGAAATTGTTTTCAAGTCGTAAATTTTAAATTTTAAACAATATAACTGATAATTATAGAAACAGTTCAGAAAACAATTATCTGTCAATTGAGAGACAGATGTATGTACACTTGGGTATTTGTACTGTAATTTTATAGTAAATACCTGCATTATACTTTTGTTAGATAATGGAAACGTTTTAATTCAGAAATTCTTAACAGTAAAGTGTGTGAACAAAAGTGTTTTGTAAATGCTTAGGATTCTACAAATGATCATTGTTATTCTCATGTATATTTGTAAGATCGTGTCCATTCATAAATACATCATATAAAAGACTTTCTCAGAGTAAATTTGTATTTCAGTATTTTTGTCTATTGTAAAAATATTATCTACTTGTATTTTGTAATGTTTATCTTTAATATATCCTTGTGTTTATTGTAGTAAATTGGAAAAAATGCTGAAAAATCCTAATTTGCTTAAATCAATTTTTCTTTATGTAATTTAAAACCACGTAAATTGAGTAGTTGCAAATTATGTTAACGGTCACCAGAAAGTATCTTGAGTCCTAGAAAATTAACTTTTTAAAGCTGCCCAATTGACTTTTAATTACTTATCTTTCTTATATTTTAACTTCCTTTATTACTTATCTTTCTGTGCTAATTCTTGATAAATAGTGGTGGTAAGGCCTGGTTAAAAGAAATAGTTTTAGGGTATAATTAGTATATTAAAAGGGATGTATCAGCCATCTTGGTGTCATACCATATTCATTCTGTCCTCCCATAATTGGCAGTGTTTCTTTTGGTAGGTGATGCTTATGTGCACCTCTAAGTTATGTGTATGTGTTCATATATAGACTGTATGGTTGTGTACATACATCACAAATACCCAGTGATTTTTGCAGTTTCATTGTCAGAAATAGATGATTAAAAATTAGTTGATCGTGTTCTATTCAATTGCAGAAGACTAAATGTGAACATTTCTGGAGTACTCTTTGTTGTTGAGGCATGATCTCTGTAGCCTGTGCTAGCCTCAAACTCTGGGCAACTCTGCCTTCTGAGTGCTGCAGGCACAAATGGAAGCCAGTAGCAGCTTTCTAGAACAATGATTTCATCTGGAAGCACAGATCTGGTCATGAGGATCTGTGTAACAGCAGTGTTAAGGGCCAGAAAGCAAACTGCTGGTAGAGAAGTCCACAAGAGCCTGTTGAGGTCATCTCAGCTGGAAGAACTTGAAGGTGTGTTTGTGGATCAGCAGAAGATTACACTTGGGTTTTGTGTGCATTTTTTCATGAACTTGAACCCTTTTCCAGCTCTTCTCCATGTGTGTGAAAAGGTGGCCTGAGTTCCTCCTCCTCTTCTCTGTCGTCCCCACTGACTACTAACAGATGAACTGAATTTTCCGTAGCTGTTTTCGTAGACGATTGGGATCCAGGTGTTGACTCCATTGCAATCAGGTTTAAAAATACATAAATGCTCAGGGAGGATGTGAGCTTGTCACTGCTGCCTGTTTGGGGTGTGTGCAAAGTGCTGTCTCGTAAATACTATTCCGTTGACAACTCTAGACTAAAATTCGTTCAGAAGCTTCACACATGGCCGTAGTTGAACATACGGTCTACTTAGGATGACAGTGCTTCGTGAGCTGATACATTCTCTGGTGAGTAGGAACTGTGTGTGTATCTGCCGTCAGACTCCCATTTGGAAAGACAAAGGCTGTCTTTGTACTTTTGTCCATATCCAACCCAGGTGTGTGCCACCTTTTCCTGATCTGACAGTAGATTTTAAAATCACTTAGAGCCCCTGCACTGAGAGAGGAAGGAAGCTGAGTTATCTGTATGTTCCTGTAACATCTCTGGATGTAGATGTGAAAAGGATACATTCTCCAGACTTTTATGTGGCACCACGTGATAAGATCATGTCAAGGGTTTCCTGTGGACTGCCTTGTTTCCTAGTCAGTCCGAGACACCACTAGTTAACATGATTGGCCTTGCTAGCCTTAGTTGTGTTAGCTGAGTACGCCCGAGTCCAGCCTCCAGGAGGTGGGGGCTAGAGGAGCAGGAGAGTTCAAGGACAGCCATGGCTCCATAGTCAGCTTGAGGCCAGACTTTGCCACATGAAATCTCATGTCAGAAATAATCATGGAATGTTTGACATTATGTAGAAAGCTGGAATCCTATCACTTCACCCATTATTTTTGTTAGGTAAATAACAATTCACTACACCACATAACCAGAATGAAGCAGTTTGGCTGATCTGTAAGACAGTAGATGGGACTCTATTCTTACAGCCACATCTAATGCCAGGCATCAGACACCACTCCCAAGAGTGTAAACTGGTAATGCCAGAGATGCTTTCAAAATATTTTAGACATTTTAAAGCATTGTATTTTAAGCAGGCTGGAGAGATGATTCGGCAGTTAGGAGCACCAGCCCTTCTGCTCCTGCAGGGATCTGGGGGTAGGTCCAAGCACCTTCATGGTGGCTCACAAGCGTCTGTAACTCAGGTCCTGGGGTTCCAATACCCTCTGGCCTCCACAGGCACCAGGCACACATACAGTGCACATACATTATGTGCAAACACTCGTAGTACAGACCATTCATGCACATCAAAATAAATGAAAACTTAAAATAGTGTACATGAACCTTTTTACATTTTTGTGATTACCTTAAATATTAAGCTTACATCATGCTAAAGGTGATCCTGAGTTTTAAAAAGTGAAGTCATAACTATGTATCTTTCCAAAGAAGTTTTGTTGGAATGTTTGTGCCTTAAGCTCCCCAGTGCACTTAAGTCTGAGAGAACTGGGCATGCATAAACTGCACATTTGCCTCCTATGCAGTAATGCGTGTCTTTTTTTTTTTTTTTTTCCAGTTTTGTTATTGAAACCGGGTTGGTTTTACCTTTTGAGTCAGGGTCCTCTACAGCTCAGACTGGCCTAGAACCCTGTTTTTGCTAAAGATGCTCTTAAACTCCAGTTGTTCTTTATCTCCCAAGTTCTTGGATTGGGTTCTTGTCTGTGGATTGGTTGGTCGGTCGGTTGATTTAATGTAGCCCCAGCTGGCCTGGAACTCAGTGCATGGCCAGGCTGGCCTTGAGCAGCGGCAATCCTCCTGCCTCTGTCCACCACACCCATCTGTCCTGAAGTGTGTTTGTGAGTTCCAAGTGTGTTTGTTGTTGCTTGGCAGAAAGAATGTTAAATGAGATTGTTGCTTGGTTTACATTTTTAACTCTGGGTACCTAGGTGCTTTTAAAATTCTCAGATAAACACCCATTATGTTCTCATAAAGGTCATTTGAAATATCTAATAGTGAAGAAACTATGTGTAGTTATTTGTTATGTCCTTATATTAGTCATTAGTTCTGCTCTAGACTTTTTTTTTCTTGAGAAAGCACTTCCTCTTCCTTGTCACCCCCTGCAGTGTGAATTTCCAGAGCTCGCTAGGTAAGGCGTTCAGAACTGAACAACCAACCGTAATGTGCTTTACTGTAAAGCCACACGCCTATTGCTTTCAGTTTGAATCTTCACAATGACAAAAGGATGTTTTCTGTGTTCTTCTCGGTTCCGTTGTAGTACATTAATGCTTATGTTTTTGTTTAATGGCACTTCTTCCATAGTTTAAATTTTTAAAAGTTGTATCTAATGTCTTTTAAATATTACTTGACTATATGGTTGCATTAAATTTTGTTTACCAAAAACCTGATTTGTTTTGTTTCAATATACCCAAGTGATTGTGTAAGAAAGGACCAGGGGAAAATCAGACGTTTATATTCACCTTAATAATCATAAAATAAGTGAGGACACAAACAGTAAACTAAAGTAGTGATCTGAGGGAAGGAGATGGTGGCCAACAAGAATGCCAAAGTTGATGTGTTGAGCGCGGTCCCCAATGTAGCGGTGTTAAGCTGTTCATAGGAAGCAGAGCTGGGTTTAATAAAGACATGTTAATACAGCCTACCTAGGAGGCTTAAGAGAAAGGCATTCAGACAGCAGAACACAGACCCACCCAAGGGCATGGGTGTTGACTTAACAGTCAGCCTAGTACCATGGGGGTGGGGGGCAGGAAGGGTACTGGATCCCCTAGAACTTGAGTTACAGATGTGAGCCTGCAGGGAACCAACTCCCAACCCTTGAGTGGTA